GATTTATATATTTTTCTTACTTTCTCACATAAATCTCTTTGTATTTCTGCTTCTTCACCAATCAATTCCAGCGAGTTCATTTGTTTTTTAGGAGATTTTTGAGTAGGAATTTCTTTGATGCATGCAAAATGATCAGTTACCGCGGTCGTGTTGCGAGGAGCATTTTCTTCTAGATCATCTAATGTCTACTACAATGTAATAATTCACTAGATTAAAGTATAATACTGCACATTACCTAGCAAAATTTGCGATACAGTATATTTTGCTTAGCTGCACATCCTTCTTTGCACGCAAAACTTGTGCACGTAACCGAAAAAGGCACTTAAGCGAATTTTCTTTACTACTTCAATGAGGAAGGTATCCGAATCCCTATGAAACCAAATATTGGCGGAGCACTTACCATGTAGAAATTACTGCAAGAGTAATTTTTACCGAATGTTATCTAATTATCTATGTAACCACATAAATTGATAGCCATTTTCGTTGTTCTGCGAGATGAGCAAAATAAATAAAAGGTTGTAAAATTAGGTAATTGTAGGGCCAGTGCAGGTAAACGTAATACTTTCATTGATAATTGATACTAGTCGCAAAATTTTTAAGGCAGGTGTCGCCAATGTGCAGGTATGTCGACTGCATCTAAGTGTTTAAAATAATGCCTCTGATGCACATTTTGGGGTAGGTATCTTAAATGTGCACTTAAGCATAGAGGCAGCAAAGCAAAATATACTGTACATCCATTTCATCTGAATCGATCGTGAGTTCAGCTTGTTCCGCTTGCAACCCAAACTTGGGCACGACTATACCCTCCACGGACTCCTTCATACTTATAAGTTTGTAAATTGCCTCTTCGGTCGCCGTAAATGTCTTTTCAGTGTTTGGTCCCCCGCCTGTGCCAGTCCTGGCTCTTACATTTTGCGCCACCTGTAATAAAAATTTTATTGAAATATGCAACAAATCGGTACCCTTATGTACCTTTTTCCATTCGGCAACAGTTTTCATTGGTGGACCTGCACTGTTCAGCTTTATTTCTGCTGATCGCCAAAATTTTGCCAACTCTTCCTTGCCGCCTTTGAAGAAACCACGAGCGATACCCGGTTGGGAGTCCATTAATTGCACCAATAGTTCCAATTGCGTTTTATTTGTGGTCTTTGCCCTAAAATAATATATTTATTTTAATTATTATTTAATTTTAATTCTAATACTTACATTTTGCCGCGCTGCTCCTTACGAGAAGAATGAGGAACCAAAACTTGAGAAATGTCATTACTTCTCCCTTTCCCACTACATTCGTAATGCCACCTTTTTGCTCCCTACATATTCGAAGTTAGTTTAGAATTAGGAAAAAGAGAGGAAAGCCAAAATGTGGGAGATTTTTTATTAAGAATGCGGGAGTAGGGAAAAAAGAACAAACTCCCAGGGAAAAAGTATTTAGAATTGGGCTGTATAGGTCTGACCTTTAATAAGATAAGAATTACGTAAGTATCTGAGATTCAAATGTTTTTAAAAAACTGGGTGCTTTTTTTAAAAATAACAGTGTTCTTATCCGATTCCGCTGACAGCCACGACTTTGAAAACACAATTTTGTTCAAAATTTTCATTCCAGGAAAACAATAATTTATTTTCCATATCCACCTATTTAGCTCGCTATAGGCATGGATTGTTCAAACCAGTCGCAGAAGAAAGTATTAAAAATGAACTACAAAAACTAAAATCGAAAAACGCTGATGAAGTTACAGATTCCCCAAATTCTGAAACAGCCAAAGGAATGACAATGGAGAACTATTTTTAAAAAGCTTTAGAAAAACCTGACACATCTGGTTTGGCTTTGTAAGCGCTGTTTAAACAACGATCTCGCCATTATGCTAGATTCTAATTGTTTCTTAAAAATACTTGACATCCGCATTCGCGGTTGTTAGCTTTTAGATATTCGCATACGCATTCGCATCCGCGGATGTCTAAAATTCCACATTCGCAACATCCCTAATTTGTACAATGATTTTGGGTTATCGTCTTCAAACCCGTGACCCGAATCAAAAAATTTTAACATATACGTCTAGCCAAAGGACTAAGCTTTATTTTTTTTTATATTATTTTATGTTTGTAGGCTAGTCTGATCTTTTCAGTTCTGGTGCGAATAAAACTACTTTATTCCACTTTTCACCGGACGTTTCGCTAAAACTTTTTTAGCATCCTCAGGGGTAGTGTTTATTTTATCTGTTACAACATATATACAAAAATACAAAAAACACACACATTAAGTATTAACCGAAAAAACAAAAATGTATACATATATAACAGACTAGCCTAAAAACATAAAATAAAATAAATTTGAACTGATCGGACAAAAAAGATAGATGGACTAAGCTCTAAGTTAAAACAAAGGTTTCGGTTTAAAATATGCACTTTTTTTTGTAAATTTGGAGGTCAATTTTGCCCAAATATACTGTGGATGGCGTAACCAGAGTTGACTGATGAGGTTATTTTCACTAGCGCGGCCGAAGGGTACCAAAATGGAAAAGAGTACCCACTGCTGATGGCCTAACACGAGTTTAATTTTTCTTTGCGAAAATGCTAATTTTACCCCATTTTGAAATGGGCCCCGAGTGTCTGTAGAAGGGGCAGGGAGGCGAAGGGTGAATTATCTTAAAGTTTATACTGTTCTCTTTCTAGTAAGTTTTTGGTGACACGCACCTTCCGTTTCCGCTCCCCACCAAAAAATCATTTTACAAATAACCGAACATTTCCAACGCACAACATTAAACCCTCTTATGTATTGTTTCATTGATATCAAGGTGGCAAGGTAGCTCATAATTTTGTACAATTTATGAAACTTCAAAA